GGCGGCGGCGGCGGCGGGGACGACGGCGCGCGGCGAGGGACATGCACTTTCGGAACGCTAACGCTCTCCGGGCCCGAAGAGCGCCCCCGCCGTCAGGCTCGCCGCAGCGCAGTGCCGGGGAGCCTCGCCCGGCTGCGTCTGGGCACAGCGGCCGGGAGTACGCTTGGGGCCGAGAGTTTGGGTGGTGGACTCCCTAGTCTAAACCCATTTATTTTACAGAGAGGGATAGGAGAAGTTCCTTGTCCAAGGTCACAGAGTTAGAGCTTGGCAATGACTCAGAGCAGGGATCTTCTCACTAAGCTATAAGCTCCCGGACGGCAGTGACCTGCCTACCTGTTTTCAGCTCTATCCCCATCTTATTGGACACAGTCCTCAGAAAACGCTTGAGCAAGTATGATGACTGGCTCCCGGGGTCCGGCCCTTGCCACACCACCCTAGCTGCTTTTTGCCTGTGGTAGTTATAAATACAATTATAAAATAATGGTAGGTTTTATACTATGTAAACAGACTCGTTTCTTTGTAACCAAGCTAAGTGACTTTCCTTTCTCTATGGGGAAAGGAAACACTATCTGTGCATGAGGTACCTTTTTTCTATCTCACGTATTACATAATAAATTTTTTAAGGGGAAAAAATATGCCTATACCAGTCTCCCTTTCTCCTAGGAGAAGCCATGTAGTTCCTACAGCAGTCAGGAGCTGCTGACGGATTGCTTGGGCTTGAATCCAGAGTCCATCACCCAACAGCTGTGTGATCCTGAGTAAGTTCTTTTACTTCTCTGAGCCTGTTCCTTCTTCTGTAGCATGGCAATGATAATAATACCCACCTCCTAAGGTGGGTGTGAGGAATATGTAATACATGTCAAGCATTTGATACAGTGCCAGACTCAGAGTATGTGCTCTACTGATCTCAGCTATCGTTATTATCATTAAAGTTTACTAAAAAGTTGTAATCCATAGGTTTTGAGGCAAATACGTTGTGTTTACCACAGTATTACAGCATCTTAGTTATATGATGTCCCAGAGGAGCACAGAGGAGGAAGCCTTTTCAAAAGCCACTCTGTTGGTGCTATGACAAGAAGGGAGATGGGAGAGAAACACTCCTTGTTCATCGGGAGGCAATGAAGTCATATTCCAGGATGGGTGCAAATAAGGTGCTTTAATCTCCTTCCTCTCACCCACATCTTAATGAGTAGAAATGTGAAATTCAGGAGGCTTGATTACCTGATCTTTCAGGGAAAAGTATTCCTCAGAAATTTCTTATTGCGGGCCGACCCCGTGGCGCACTCGGGAGAGTGCGGTGCTGGGAGTGCAGCGGTGCTCCCGCCGCGGGTTCGGATCCTATATACGGATGGCTGGTGCGCTCAATGGCTGAGCGCGGTGCGGGCGACACCAAGCCAAGGGTTGCGATCCCCTTACCAGTCACAAAAAGGACAAAAAAAAAAAAAAGAAATTTCTTATTGCAATACATTTGGGTTGGAAGAACCCTCATAGAGCACCTATTCCAATTCCATTATTCTGTAGGTGAGAAAAGCAAGGTCCACAGAGATACCGTGACTTGCCAAACGCAGCACAGCTGAGACTGAGCCCTGGCTCTGCCATCCCCAGGAACATGACTCTGGGCAACATTTCTTATTGCAATACATTTGGGTTGGAAGAACCCTCATAGAGCACCTATTCCAATTCCATTATTCTGTAGGTGAGAAAAGCAAGGTCCACAGAGATACCGTGACTTGCCAAACGCAGCACAGCTGAGACTGAGCCCTGGCTCTGCCATCCCCAGGAACATGACTCTGGGCAACACATGTCGCCTCCCTCTATGCCTCAGTTTCCTTTCTACCAAATGAAGTCTATAATCTCTTGTGGAGTTGTTTGGAGGATCCTGTGAAATAATGTATTGTATGTGAATAATGCAAGGTATTATAAAGCTTTTTCTTTAAAAAATGTTACCCAAATATCAGATCACAAAGGAAAAGGGTTTTTACAGAGGGGCAAACTCCTTAGGACACCGTTTGCTCCAAGCAGCATTTTGTAGAGAACCTTGACCACAGGAACTCTCAATCAGCACTGCCAGTTGATGACAATGTTAATTCTGTGGGGCTTTTCCAGGAGGGTGAGAAGAGACAGGCCTTCATGGTGTTGCAGATGTGTGCTGGGTAAAGGCTTTGGCATTTTTATTAAGCAAAATGTCTGGTCGCTTATTTGAGGGCGGGGGGGACATCGCAGAGATAATATTGCAAAAAACTCCTTAGTAAATACAACTTACTTAAAAATCCAGACTCAAGGGCTGCAGAAAGGTGACATCAAGCATTTTCAGTTGGCAATGACTGTGGTTTGGTACAGATCGAGGCCAGCACTCGCTAAAGTCAGGGAGAGGGAGTCTGACATGCCAGAGTTTGCCTCTCCTACAATGTCTTTTTTTACAGTCCCTCTCTATCTCCCGATCAGCTGTACTTCTGCCAGTCTGGCCCCCTGGCCTGACTTGAGCTGTATGCCCTTCTTATGATGTTAACAAACATCCATCAGGGAACACTCTGATGTTCTCCTGGAGACAGCATAGATCAATGGTTAAAAGCAGGGACTCTAGGGGCCGGCCCAGTGGCGCACTGCTACAGTGCGCCACTTGGGAGCGCAGCAGTGCTCCCGCCGAGGGTTCGGATCCCACATACAGACCAGCGGCTCACTGGCTGAGCAAGGTGCGGGAGCAACACCGAGGGTTGCGATCCCGTTGCCGGTCTCGAAAAAAAAAAGACAAAAAAAAAAAAAAAAGCAGGGACTCTGGAGTCAGCTTGGTAGGTCTGAACATCAACTCTGCCAATTACTATCTATGTATCCTTGGACAAATTATTTAACCTCTCTGTGCCTCACCTGTAAAATGAGAACAAGAATAGGACATACCTCATAAGATTATGAACATTAAATGAGTTAATACAAGAGGAAAATACTTAGAGAAGTGCCTGGTACATGGTCAGTGATATATAAATATGGGGTAAATAAAATAAATTGTGAGGGAAGTGACTTATGTACACCTCTCTGAGCCTGAGGCTAGAGCTCCATGATGACACACACTGCAGCAAAACATAAGCCAGAGAATGGAGTTGTTGGCAGTGGAATTTACTGTTGGGATATTACAGATTGATTACAGTATGTTAAATAGATTGGATAAAGCCAAGAGGACAGAACAGTATCTAGAAGGCACTCATGGAATTTTCCTCTAGAGTGCTAGGAAAGAGTTCTACCCTCATACAACATGCTTCATGCCTCCTAAACTGTGCAGGGGGCACGGGGAAATACTTTTGCCAGGAGATAAGAGGGGGATCTTTTATGCCTATCAAAGGGGGAATTTGCAACACAGCCTCTTTCTGAGTCCCACAACAGTGGAACACCCCAGGCCAGTGATCAGGCTTGCTGCGGAGAAGGTATAGTGTGTGTTAAATGACTGACACTAGGTGGAACAAAGGCCCCATCTCTGATTGGTGAGTTAGACAAAGTCCTGGGCAGGAGGCCAGATAAGACTTGGGTTGGCAAATGTCCCAATTTTCAGATCCAACTATCTTTAGTCTCTCAAGTTAAACTCAAAGCAGCATCTATTATCTGAATTTTCTTCACTTTTGTCTCCCATTCCTTCCAGAAAGTCTTCCTCCTTTTCTTGCCAAGCCCACTCTGGTGAAGCAAAAAAGTCCAGTGCCTTGATACCAGGTAAATATTTTACCTTGCCTTTCAGTGCACTCTTTCTTGTTTCACTGTTCGAACATGCATGTTCTCTGCATATCAGAAGGGCTGGTCTCTAGAGGACATGGATTCTGTTTGCTTGATTTGGCTTGAAGGTACATCACTCAGCACAATTACTTATTAAAAGACATTTGATTATGACTAACTGTGTTAAAAGGAAATTTCCTGGCAAGAGCCTCATCTGTTGATGAGGTTGCACCCAGTTTTCTTTTTCATTTTCTCAAGCTCCTCTCAGATACATTGGGTAAAAAAATACCCTCAATTAAGAGATAGTTGGTATTGAGAAGCCTCCCAACCGTCCTCCTCTGAAGATTGCATTTCATCTCCAATACTTTGCTAGCTGTGCAACACTGGGCAAGTGACATAACCTCTCTGAAAAACATAAATCTCATCTGCAAAATGGGGCTATCTCATACAGCTCTTTTGAGAATTAAATAAAATAATGCAGGTAAAGCATTCATCACACTGCTTAACACATAGTACATGCTCACATATCACCCTTAACAGCTGCATTTTAAATTTGGAATTCATTTGCTGACTTGCATTATCTTTCCAAAGGCAAATTGATTACCCTTCCCCCCAAATTGTGAACTCTGAAAGGCAAAAATGCATTTAATATAATTTGTAATCACTTTAGACACATTAAAAATTTTGCTGACTTATTGCACTTATATTTTTTAGGCTACAGGCCATTTCTGCAAACAAAAATTCCATGGAACAGTAAATTTATAATTTTTATTTACCTCTGCAAAGAGATCACTAGAAGTAAATATACTCCAAGAAAATAATTCAAAAAAAGAATACATATATAATATAGATACAGACATTAATATTGTGAAATATATTTTTGGTCTTGTCTGTTTCCTGACATACAGCTTTTAAAACCCTGGGAATCTCCAGAGTGATAAGAGTAGAGTGTATTTTGTATGCTGATGAGATGACTGGTGGTTGGGGACCCCTAGGT